ACACACGCCACCTTGTATTTTTTTTCTAGAAAATGATGCCACTTGGTAGAATTTCAAAGAGAAATCTGAACTCCCTAGATCGTGTTCAGAAAGGAGCCAGAGCCTGGCGTCCTAACAGGTTCTGGGAAGTTCTGGAAAGCTGCAGGTGGGTGAAGTTCCTGAGCAGGACAATTAGAAGTGCAAATAGCGTGGATGTCACAGGAGAAGTCACTCTGACTGTGTGAATGTCCTCTCAAGAGGAGGCCGGAGGCCTTGGAACTTTCTATTCAGATTCTCTTTAGTTCTTTCACCTTCAGCTCCAAACTTCACGACAGCCCCTTCTTGCTGTATTCCGGTCTCTTGGCATGCACTCGGTTATTGCCATCTACAAAGACCTAAGAATGTGCTTTGTATTTCCCAGTGTATTTATGCTTTACACGACCAGTTCTTCAGCGGTATCTCCCTATGTCAATGCCATGATAACTTATATTGTAGTTTGGGCTATCAGATTCCTTTTGAAAAGTTACCACACTCTAAGAATTTTTGCCCAAACTAAGTCCTACACGGCTGTACTTGATAAAGAGACTTTGAGTTAGAAAACTGGGCAATTTAGTAATGGACCAACCACAGACAGCTGGATAATGCTATCTTGTAAAGTGCAAGGCCAGCATCCTAAGCCTGTCTCCCGATTCCAAGGCCCAGTGACTTGCCAGCTGCCCTCCTTAGAAAAGCACGCCAGCCTCTTGTAACCTCAGCTGCTGCTGGAGAACTCACTGGCTGGGGCGCCTCAGTCCCCATCCGCTCCCATCTGCACCCCTTCTTCCCCTAGAAACCAAAGTGTGCACTCTCTACAGCCTCCAAGAGAACAGCAAGAGCTCTACACAGGACGGTTTGTAAAAGGTACCCACCCACCCATCAATGACGGGTCACAAAAAATGGCGCTGTGTTTGCTGACCAGCCGGAGCAAAGATGGTCACCAAGACAACTCGGTGTCTGATCCATGTGACAGAGATGCCAGGCTCTGCAGCGTGTGGCTGTGACTTAAGAAAAGGCATGCCTAGGGACACTCTACTCTTCTTGGCCCTTCTAGAGTGGCCTGGGAAATGGGCCTGGCTACTTAGTGTTGCACAGATAGAATGCTTTGGTGTCTTCTCTGGCCCCACAGCTCACCTACAGTATACCCTTGCAGACCTCAGCCAAGATTGAGTGAACAGATTCCGATCTGCAGAGCTTTGAGAGGAAACGTAGCCACGGCTCAGCCCATCAGACCCAATGGCAGCCTGCAGCCCTCCCGAGACCTCCCCCTTCCTAAAACAGTCCTTGCGCCCACATGTTTTAGACAAGCCACGAAGAGCCTTTGAGAGACTGGCATTCCTCCCCTGCCTGAAGTGCCCCTCCCCCACCCCCAGTGCCCTGCCTGCTCATGAAGTTCCCTTTGGAATTCTGCTAGCCCCCATCACCTGGTGCTAATCACGGGAGGCTTGGGGAAATTCATTAGGGAGCCATACCTTCTCCACCAGCCAAAAGCTCATTGCTTTCCAATTCCATGGTTACAGGAATCCTTCCAAAACTACGCTACATCTAAAGACTCCCTGAAATGTAAATAGAATGAAACAGCAGAAACAGAAAACAATTAATCCTTGGGCCTGGGGTCTTTGAAGATCCAAAAAGTGCAGCTGGTATAGCTCTTCCTGATAAGACAAAGAAGGGGAACCCTACAGGCCCACACCTCCGCCTGCTGCCAACAACCTCGGGGGAGGAGGGCAACTCACACTCTGTGCCCCATAAACAATTTAGCAGTGCTCTATCCCGGCGATATAGCTCCTTTTAAACAGACCCCCAACATCATACAGCATACATGCCATGAAAACAGGGCTCACACCACTCCTGCCGCTGTGCAAACAGCCATTTGTAGACATTAGCTGTGGCAAAATGTACCAACGGCCAAAATGTTACCCAGCAGCCACAGCCACACCCGCGTGCCTATATACCTCTCATAGCTGCTGTCACTCAAAAAGGACAACGTTGAGAAGATGTGACTAAGGCTAGATGACTCGTAAAGCTTAAAATATTCACTTTCTCCTCCTTTCTGGGCAAAGTCTGCCAGCCCCTGCTCAACATGATTCTTTCAACACAAGAAGGCTTTTGAGATACCCCATCCACCCACAGCTACCCAGAGCTATCTTCTGGATGATGCTCTCTACCCGTGCCTTGTAGCTGAGACTATTCTGGCAAACACATACATGACTGCACACTTCAGAGAGCTTCTACCACAGCCAAAGGACAGACCACACCTTTATCAACCACCTGGGTGGACAGCCAAGCCAAAGATGGGGTGCAGGGCAATCTCAGGTAGCTTAAGGTTCAAGACTTTCTTTCCTTTCTGTTCCAGGACCACCTTGACACCAAGAGACCCGCTCCCAGCCATGTCTCTTTCCTCCTGCTTCAGCCTCTGCCTACGTGTAACTCGGGGAGAGTGTCCAACGTACAGCTTGCACGAACAGGATGAATAAGGCAGACTAAACAACAGCAGCGTCTCCTCAAACTGGAATTGAAAAATCTCAAGACTTAGAAGTCCACCCGCAACTGGCTAGGGGTGAACTCGGAGTCTTGGCTGTGCTCCTTTCTCTAAGGCACAGCGCCCTCACATGGCGCAGAAGGGCAGCACAGTCTTCCTGGGAAGCTGGCTCAGAAGACAGCTGTGAGGAGGCTCGGCAATCACTCTGTGAGGACTTTCAATCAATGTTCTCCAGATTTCCAGCCTGGGCTCCTTCACAGATAGCTCCTCGCTGGAAACTTTACACCAAGAAGTATAAACTCTGACCTCTCCAGAAACTCACGAAACCGCAGCAAATGGGATTCAGATGTTTCCATGTACAGTACAGGGATGTGACCTAGACTTGAAACACTTTGGCAAAAACAGGAAAAATGATGTGGGCCTTTGAGTCCCTCCCAGAACATGATACAGCTCTGACCCAAGTCCTACAGGGATCTGAGCCTTTCTTACCCTACTTAAGCCTCCTTGCCCACAGCCCACACTTCTGCCCCCGTTCCACGTTAACACCTACCAGGCCCCGCCAGTCTGTGCCTTTGCCTCCTTTTACCAAGGCTGCCAATTTCTCCCAGCTAAGCAAAAGCAAACCATACCCTAAAATGAGACCTCAGAAAATTCCCGAAAATTAGGCTGCTCCCAGGAAATTACAGCCACAGGTCCCCCGGCCTTGACCCAGTGCCAAGGAAGCAGAAACTCCACAGAAGTTAATCTTGGGGTCACAGACTGTCCAGCTTTGCTGTTGGCTGTGTAAGTGGAGGCCAGAGAATCGTGGGTGGTGATATACAAGGTAGGTGAAGGGGATAACTTCTTTGGCCCCGGGTAGCCCGCCAAAAAAAAAAAAAAAAACAGTATCAGAAGCCTCTATCTCAGAGGTCTACTGTGACAAAATACCGAGAAACAACAGTGAATGGCATGCTCTGAGCGACGCCAGGCTCTTCAGGGACAACCCATCTGCCAGTCACGTGCTTTCCTTGGGGGCACCATGGAGAAGCTGAGAAGAATTTGGCTCGACACCAGTGTAGCTCAAGTGTGAGCACAAACAGGACAAAAAGACCCCCAAACTCTCTTTGCCTCTCAGTGTACTCATCACAGGTGTGTCTCAAACACAGCAAGGCAAGGTCTTGGAGAAGAGCAAGCTTGAGAACGGGCTTGAGAACGGGCTTAAGCCCGGGCCAGGTGAGCATCCCACAGTTCTCACTGAGGGTGGATCCAGACAAACGCCTGCACCGGGGTGAGGGAATATGGCCAGTGGCTACCCTTCCTCTCTTGATCTTACCTTCCAGCTAACAAAAGTGAGGTTAACCATAGCCTGCCTGGGGTGCCCTCCTAGTATAAAAAGAAGATTTAAAGGATAGAAGAGAGGTACATGACTACCCCATCCCCAGACATATGAAATCGACCTTCAAGTGTTTTCCCGTAACACGTGCATAACACATACACACCTGTGCAGATGCTGGGCGAGTGGGACGACAGTTTCCTATGCATTCCCCTAGGTGAGCTATAGCCAACTTCTCAATGTAACCCCGCCTGGGCCAGGTTCAGCACACAACAGAAGCCAAGACAATGACAGCCCCACACCCCCCTTGTGTTCCCCCTGCTCAGAAGGCACAGTCTGGAAGGCCAAGTGAGGGAAATGGGGAGGAAGGTTTTCCCCCGCCCAGCCCTCCGCGGGACCACCCCAGGCAACGCAACAGACTGGGCAGAGCAGACCCATAGGGGGCGCGGGCAGTACCAGGCCGCCGGAGGCGCCGCAGGCGCTGAGGGAGACGAGGGAGCCCGGGTGGCCCAGGACTCGTCCGGAGTAGAAGCACAGCTCGGCAGGGTGTCCGCTGCTCCCCGCGGCACCCGCCTCCTCCACCTCGAAGCCCGGGGACAGGAAGCGCAGGTCGCGGCGCAGCTGCAGGTACAGGTCGCGTCCGAAGGCCGGCAGGTGCAGCAACAGGGCGTGCTCTCCCGGCCCCGCAGGAGGGCCACCTGGAGATGCTGGCGGTCCCCGCCACCGCCGGAGCCCCGCTACTCCCGGCAGCAGCTGCAGGTGCACGTCGTCGGGGCGCAGTCGCCTCGGGAGCACCACCTCCACGTCGGCCGCCGCGTCGCCGACAGCTGCCGGGAGAGAGGACATGCGTCAGCACCGGCCTGGCCACCAGACCTCCCGCCGGTGGCGGCTCCGGCGCTAGCTTTCAGAGCTCCATGGACATCGTGCATCCGTGACCCCGCACTCCCTTCCCTCCCCGAGCCGGGCCTCTGCCAGCCGGCCAAGCCACCCGATCGCCCCAGGGGACGGCACGCCGTCAGCTTGCCCGGGGATGGGGGCGGGTGGGGGACCAGAGCCCTGTTCCCCGGTCGCGGCCTTCGCCCTCCTCCTCCTCCTCGGATGATGATGCTGTCAGCAGTCCACCCATGCACCCGGGCGCCAGGATGCTTCGGGAGGGCACGGGGAAGGTGGCCGCGAGAGCAAGCGACACTACCTGTGCTCGGGTCCAGCCCCCACACCAGCAGCAGCAAGGACAGGACGAGAGGGGGCAGCAGGGCTCCGTCACACATGGTCCTCGGGACCAGCAGCCCCCAAGACCGTAGTGGCAGAGCAGGGGCGCGCGAGGCGGCAACGCCAGCCGGAGTGAAGCCCTGCAGCCTTTGGAAAAAGTAATTAGCGCTGCGGACAAACCCAACATGGTAAATACCAAGCTCCACCTTCTCCTTGGAAAGTAGGAGGTGATTGGGCTTTTGCTTTCCTCTGCCCCGCCTTCCCTGTCCGTATTGGTTAGGGCCGGTCGAAACCAACGTGCGTAGTTAGGTTGTAAGCACTTTCTTACACGTGGTTTCTAGGCAGTAGGTGGGACGTGACACCAGGTGGCAGGCGCGAGCCGACTCCGGCTGTGGAATCCTGGAGCAGCTGGGAGGACACTAACCTGGACCTTCCATGCGGAGATCACCTCTGGGGCTGCTATCCAGCTTCGCAGGAAGACAGGCTGGACCATTCGATTCCCATACAAAAAAAAAAGAGAGGAAGGAAAGGGAGGGAGGGAGGGAGGGAGGGAAGAAATCAAATTCTTTATGTATTTAAGTGACTCCAACTTTTGATTTATTTGTTTGAAAAAGCCCAGATGAATTTCTGGTGCACCTGAATTCACGCCTGACGGCTGTATCTCCAATGTTTATTCACACCCTGCGTGCTTCTTTTGGTGTTTATGTTCACAGAAGGCAGAAAGGTGAGAGAGCATGTTACGCTCCCTTGAATATAGGGAAACCGAGGAAAGGGGAACTTCAGAAGCTTGCTTAAATTAGCCAGCAAGTTTCTGGCTTGTCAAGATCTCTGGCTTGAATTCATGACCCCGATTTCAGTTCAGGTGTGACTCTCTGCAAACAGCAAGAGCCCTTGGAGGGTGGCAGGAAGGTATGTTAGCCAAGCTTTGCGTATCAAGACACAGGAGAGCAAAGTGGCAAAGCCTGATCTTGAACTTCATCTTTCAGGAACAGAATGAGCCCACATTTTCCCAGCAGATTCAAACGGGATAATTCCCTTAGCTGCTCCTTACAGGTGATTCCATTGGCTTCTTTAAGAATGTCTCACAGACAACACAGACCGAGCCCAAGGTTACCACTGCAGCCGCAGGTGACGCTCCCTAGCTCACCTTTGTTTGTTTGTTTGTTTGTTTTCTCAAAGCAAAGTTGTGACAGACTCCTACGGACCTCTTTGTTTGGGGTGTCAGGATCTAGACTTCATCACAGGGTTATTATATATTACCAGAAAGCATCCAGAGGTGAGCTGAACACCGGCGAGCTTCTCTAAGTTTGATGCCCGGTAGCCTGTCTGTAACCCTCCACAAAGGCTTCTCACAGGAGGTGCTGCAGATCTGGTCTCTGTTCCAGTGGCTGCCACTCACTGCTTGGCACCTGTAGTGGATTCCAGCATGGGTCAGGTTCTGTTGGTGACTTTGAGTAGGGCTTTGCCTCACCCTGAGTTTTGAGAACTTGGGTACCAGGGCCATGGCTTCAATCATTACAGGGAAAATAGGAAGAAAAAGAGAAGCGTATCAGATCTGTGCGTGGTCACTCGGCAGCTAGCGGTAGTGACGGTCCAGGGAAATGCTTTTCTCCTCATACAGATTCAGTTTCTCTCCTGCAAATCAAGGAGTGTACACTTCTAATAATTTGGACAATTCTTGAAAATAGAAAGAAGGGCCTAGAAGATGCCTGGTATATCATAGGCACTTGGTTATATTTACTAATATATGAATAAAAGAAGAAAAGTGATTGATCAAATCAGATGTTTCAAAGACTCCCCCTGTAAGGCCCCCAGACCTTAGCACAATTGACTCCATGGCGGATGTACCATTCAGACTGTGAAACTCAGCATGTAGACAGCACCACCTGCCAAAATCAAAACAAAGGCCTCATCTACCAAAGCCCACAGTTGTGGGAAAGTCTCTAAATCTACTAACCTTGTTTTTGGCTTCTCTGGTTCTGCTTCTGGCTAACTTTTCTTGTTACCTGAAGTCTGTCAGTCCAGACATGGTTTTGTGCTTTAAAGCTCACCTGAGAAAGGCTCGGGGCCACACTGGGATCCTGAACACCCAGTGTAGTCTCCGGCCGGCTAAGAAAGACTTTCTATTGGCTTAAACCTGTGTCTGAGCAGTCTTCTCTGGTGAGTACTCCACCACACTCCAGCTGTCCAAAGTGCTAAGCAAGCATCAAACCCATGCCCCCCTTGGTTCATTGTTTGCCATTCTTTCTTGTCCAGATCACTTTCAGTTGGGCAAGTTCATGTGGGTTGGATTAAAAACAGCACTAATGATTAGGGGCCAGATGTTAAAATGTCCTTTGCTGGGGAGAAAGAGCAGAGAAGGCCTCCATTATTTAAATAACCCCGTCTTGCTAATGTGTATGTGTGTGCCCAGTACCCCAGGCACTGCTGATCCATGGAGAATACTAATAAACATTTGCCAGATGATCAACAGCTCAGCAGTGTGTCCCCTTTCTTACGTTTGTCACTCAGAGTGGCCTTCCAAGATCAAGGATGCTTTGAAAGCCAAGACTGAGCAGAGAAACCATAATCAGATCTCTGTAACCAGATTGTATTTGCCAAATACACTTAGTTGGTAATATCAGAGCTCCACTGAGCTCAAGCGAGCACAGAGGAGTTGTTTATTACATACTCTTTGTTTTATGCTCTAAAACCAACCACTACCAGGAACAACAGTATTGTCAGCGAGGCAATGGAGGGACTGGAGTCTATCCATGCATGGCAGGAAAGTCACA